GCTTGAGTCTTACAGCCAATAATATCACGGCAAAACTGACCAATCATTTTACACGAACTGAAATAAGAACATTCTACTGACAACAACTATTCACTTGACTCTGATGATGACTTCCGCCCAGGTTGTCGAAACGTCAGTCACTACCACCGACAACAGTACTTTTCAGGACTACCCTCACCCGGACGATCAGACTACACTTTCACAAATAATGAAATTGTTTGGGCTCATTCATCACAGATTTCTTTGCAGTTTAATTTTCAAACTGAAAACAAAAATACCAAGAAATCGTCTTCTTTCAGCCTTAAGTTGACAACAAAACTAAATCTACAGAAAAGAGAAAAAAATGCCTTGGAATTTTTTCCTGAATGTCGATTGGGTTTCCGGCCAGTTAATCTAATACAAATTTCTTGTTTCAGTTCGAAACATTTTGACACAGACTCATCCTGACCGTTTGAATAAATTGTAGACTCTTGTTAAATGACATAAGAGTTTGAAGAATTGAGAGAAGTAGTGATAAAAAAAATTAAGTTTTTCTTTCTTGGTATTTTCAGTCAAGGATAAAGCCAAAGTCACGACAGCTGAAGAAAAACTTGACATGAAAGAAAACAGTTTAGAAGGTGAGACCAACCAGAACATAGTTGAACAAGTCTTCGTTAAAATTTGCTGCAGATTTTGGAATGGCGTACGAGACTAGACAAATTTTACTAAATTGATGTAATTTCCGTTAGAGAAACAGCGTTCAACGCGAAGGTGACACACTCAAAACCTTTATTTAGAAAAATGACAGCCTTTTGTCATGATGCAATTACGTTCAATCTTAACAGCATGTATTCGTTACAATCTGAGTTTGTAGTTCTAGATTTTTGGCAAGCTCTGATTTTGTGTTAAATCCCACCCTATACCTTCGTAAAGCTCTCTCTCCTCCTTCTCCATCCCTTCCCCGACCTCCCTTTCTTCAGGCCCCATAAGCCTCATCTTTACAGCCCCCTTCTCTCCTCCTTCTCTATCTCTTCCCTGATATCCCCTTTTATCAGGCCCATAAACTGCCTTGTTTATACACCCCCTCCCCCTCTCTCCTCCTTCTG